CTTCTTTATTTCCAGTAACTTCTGGGGTTCCCCAAGGTTCCATCCTGGGCCCTGTTTTGTTTCTTATCTACATAAACGATCTTCCTGACAACCTTTCATCTAAAGTAGCTCTTTTTGCTGATGACTCAACTTTATACTCCTGTCTTGACAAAAAGTCTTTTCTTTTCGATCGCCTAGAACAAGCAGCTGATCTTGAATCCAATCTCACTTCAGTAATAGATTGTTGTTCACAGTGGCTTGTGAATTTCAACTCTAAAAAAACCCAGTTTCTTACTGCAAACAACTACCGTAATATGGTCAACATTCCTATATTAATGAATGGCAATCCTTTTACTGAGTCTTCCTCTTTACGTCTTCTTGGATTATCGCTTACTACTGACCTTTCATGGAAACCATATATACAATCGATTGCTAAATTAGCTTCTGCTAAGGTTGCTTCTCTTTATCGTGCTCGCCATTTCCTTACTTCTGATTCCATTCTCTACCTCTACAAATCTCTTATTCATCCCTGTACGGAATACTGTTGTCATATTTGGGCTGATTCTTCTAATGATTCACTTTCTCTTCTTGACAAGGTCCAAAAACGCACTGTAAATATTGTTGGACCTGGACTATCTGCTAAGCTTGAACCTCTTTCCCATCGTCGTAAAGTTGCATCTCTTTCTCTTTTCTACAAATACTATCATGGTCACTGCTCAAAGGAGTTATCATCTCCATCAACTAAAATTCATTCTCGTTTTACTCGTCATTCAGCTAAGTCTCATTCGTTTACTGTATCTGTCTCTGCATGCTCTAAAAACTTTTATTCATCTAGTTTTTTCCCCGCACTTCAATCTTTTGGAACTCTCTCCCATCTTCATGTTTTCTTGACTCATACAACCTTCAACTTTTCAAGTCTTCTGTCAACCGTTTCCTTGCTCTATAACTCTGTTCTTTTTTTTCCTAGTAACTCCCAACTTAATAGTGGTTGCTTGCAGCCTTGTTGGGAGTGAATGCAAATTAAAAAAAAAAAAAAAAATCTCATTCAATTTTTAAAAAATTAAACAGAGTGTTGTGTGAGTATCAATAGAAAATTTTAAGAATAGGGACAGATCAATTTTTGGAAGTATCGGGGGTTTGATGCACCCTAGTATATATATTACATATATATATTATACCCTAATATATATTATATATATATAATACTATAATATATTATAATATATATATTATACTATAATAATTTTATAATATATATTATATATACATTATATATAATTTACTAAAATATATTATATAATACTATAATATATATAATACTATAATAATATTATAATATATATATCTATATATATATCTATATATATATATATATATATATATATATATATATATATATATATATATATATATATATATATATATATATATATATATATATATATATATATATATATATATATATATATATATATATATATATATATATATATATATATATATATATATATATATATATATATATATATATATATATATATATATAATGACTCTACTCATAGAATTTTGCTTATGCATCCTTGATAATGGCTATGCAATTCTTCCTGTTATCTCCATATGAGGGTACAGCTCTAAAACTCAGTTTAATGGTTCTGAGGCCGGCTTGTAGTAAGGTTTCCCGAACTCTGTGGTAGCTCTCAGAGAGGCTGATTCCATCAACAGCTGCAAAATATCAGAGTATTAACAGTGCCATGTTGCGCATGGATGGTGTCCCTGTTAATGCTTTTGGTGTGCATTATCAAGGCCACATAAGGAGCTCTATGTCATGGCTTAGGGTTAATAAACAGGACTGAGACAACTGCATGGCTCATTGATTAGGAGGCTGTGCTCTATCTATGAATTAGTCAAGTTCTCATTAAACCCAAATCATGACCAAAGTAACCAAAAATTTTAAACCTAAAAAACCATCCCCACCACCTAAATGTTTTAATATATCTTTTACAAATATTCGCAGTCTGCGAAGCAACTTTGCGTCAGTTAAGTCTTACCTCACCAGACTTTTTTGACATCAGACACCACAATATTCACCAGACTTGCTTGCACTCAGTTAAACAAATTTAAATTCTGCAATTCCTTCTTCAGATGTCAGTGTTGATGGGTACTATCCTTTGATTCGTAAAGACTCCAATAGTTACATGATAGGTTTAGGGATATACATACGCATTAATTCCCCTATTTGTCGTAAAATCAGGTTCGAATCCTTTGACCATTCTTTTATGTGCTTTCGCCTAGCACCTCTTTACTCTATCACCTTTCTCTTTGTTCTTCATCGTTCTCCTTTTTCCCATGATTGCACTCTTTTAGATATTATCTCTGATCAAATTGACCATGCCCTCTCCTTTTACCCTTCTGCCAATATTGTTGTTGTTGGTGATATTAATGCCCATCACACTGAATGGCTTGGCTCTAACACCACTGATCCTGCTGGCACTAAAGCCTTTAACAACTGCGTTTCTCAATCTCTTACTCAGATAGTTAACTTTGTGACTCGTTTTCCTGACAACCCTATGTTGCATGCAAATGCATTAAAATATATAAAACTTGTACAGGTCATGGATAAGAAATTGTATTTTTTTATTACAATAGTAATAAATAAATAGTTTTGGGGCTCTTCCTCCTTTGTCACCGGTTGTCCTTTTTCCCTATACCCCCTTAAAAAGGACGTCATAAAGTCTTGCACCCCTTCCCCCCAATTTAAACCCCCCAAAAAATTATTTTATCTCGCAATCTAGTTTGAATCTGCTGCTTCACCTTTGAAAAATTAAATTAAAAATATTCTCATACATTATCTTCCTAAAAACATATATTGACATAGTTTTCAAGTTAGTTAAACTAAAACAAAAAATCTACAAAGTGGCGTCTTTTTCTGATAAACTCCCTCCCTCCCCTTGTTCTTTTTTATTTTTTTTAACTCGAACCCCTCCCCTCTCCCTATATGGATGACGTCCTTTATGGATGGCTCCTTTTGTCTATATTAGAATATATCCCATAAAAAAATATTCCGTAAATCTTTAATAGCTATAGTTTTTATAAAAAATTGAAATATAATTTTATTTCTATGACTATCATTTTTAAAGGTCTAAGAAGCAGATGACATAACTTTAGAAATCAGAAATTATAGAGAGAGGAGCAAATCTAAAGTTGAAGTTTCAAATTTTGCACTCTGAAGTGATAATATGTTTCGTGATTTTTAATCTTGTCAATTTTTTTAAATATAGCATAACTACAAAAAATCAAAAAAAACAGCTTGAGCAAAAAAGACTTGTAATTGTTAGAAAAGTTTACTTATATTACATACGATCCTGAATAAAACGTTATATAAGTAGATTTTTTACATTTTATAAAAAATATATATAAACAAATAGCATGTATATATACATTGTTTATATAAAGATGGTTAAGCGCAACAAAGTTTAAAAAAATTATTAGTTTATATTAAAATTAAAAAATGATTTATATAGCGTTTTTCTTGCAAAAACCATTGCATTATAATAAAATTTTTAAATGCTATAATAAAATTTTGAACTACAATTACTATATTCACTAAAATAAAATTTTTTACTAAAGTAACATTTTTAAGCAATTATTTTTAATTTTTTTGATTTAGTAGCTTTTGTTAAGAGCTTTTAAATTTTGCATCAAATTATCTCATTTTAACATATTCGTTTTATCATCCATACTGCAGCCGTTTTTTAAAATGCCCTAAGGTTAAAAATATCATTTTTGACTTTTTTAGAAAATAAGCTTTTTACAAAATAAGTCTACTAACGTTTTTGAATACATATTTCCAAAGAGTTCTGAAAAAAATCATTAAAATTATTTGTTTCAAAAAATGTTTAACAAATAGTTAATTTGTAATAATTTTTTTTGTTATGTTTTTCTCGAAATACCTAATAAGCATATTAAGGCGTTTTGGAAAACAGCTGCAGCATATATTTATAGTAAAAAAAAAAATGTAGTAAAAAAACTTTCCATTGTCAAAAGAAAATTTTAAATTTTTTTCTAGCTACGTGTTTTTTATTTTTTTTATTTTTATTTTTTTTGCCTCCACAGCAGCACCTTCTTGAGTAGTAGGACTTTCTTATTTATTTAATATATCTTTTTCAGACCATCCGCAGCTTATTAGGAATAATTACCTGAGCACAATAATATCATAAGTGTCAATTATCATACATACGCATCAAATTTTTTTCTTCCAGTGATGTTTTTTTTGTTGTTGATGTATTATGAAATTTTAGCTTTCTTAAAATCTTTTATTTTGTAAAAGTATATGATATCGTTACATTAGATATGTTCATATATAATCTTTATAAATTTTCAAAATTATTTTGTATTTTAAAATAATAAAAATTAATTGAAAAAAGTTGCCATTGGTAAGAATCGAACCTCGTTTTACTTGTTCAGAGACTCAGCGCCTTATCCACTTGGCTACACTGGCACATACTCAAGCCAATATTTTTACAACAATCTAATGATTTTTTTAAGGAAAAAATGTAACAGATCAAAATTAAGGAGGGATTGACGCAATGCAATTTTTAAGTAAAAATCAAACTGTAAAACTTGATAAATGTTTCAGTATATTTTAACATATGTTTTAACATCACTTAATTTAAAGTTTATGCACGATAGATATTTGGATACGCGTTCGTTCACGTTTTCTTGTAAAACAAAGCTGCTGCAACTCTTACTCGCCATTACCTCGGTTGCAATGGCTGCAAAGGGTTTCGTGTCAAATATGCTCCGAGGGACACTAAAACTATTAAGTTCGGCATTATTATATAGAAGATATATATACATATACACACACACATATATATATATATATATATTTATATATGTATAAATATATAAATATACATATATATATATCTATATATATATATATATATATATATATATATATATATATATATATATATATATATATATATATATATATATATATATATACACATTTGTAGATGCATTCGATGTAAACTTTATGGATGATGTTGGGCAAACTTTGCTAAACTGGGCATCAGCCTTTGGAACATTAGAAATGGTAAATTTTGAATTATGTTTGTTCATATAATGCTAGATAGTTTTATATAATACTAAGGCTCAATTTAATTTTTTATAAAGTCATGGACAAAATGTTCGATAAAAACTTTTGTGGGTTGGACAATGTCCAATCAATTTTTCAAAATATAATTTTTACGGTTTTATGGAACCGAGTTATGCAATCAAAATCTTTGTCATGTTATTCAATTTATTCAGCGGTAGTCTAGTAAAGTTGTAGTATCTTTCCTTATTATTTAGAATTATTTATAGTAGATTTTTTTTTTTTTTTGTAATAAAATAGTTTTAATTTAATATTCTACGTTTTTTTAAATTCTATTTTTTTTAAATAAGAGGTTAAAATTTCACGCTGTAACTGACTTTTTTTTTTTTTTTTCTTTACAATTCAACAACAGCTATTTTGATGTTTTAACAATTTATATGCAACTAAAAATATCTTTACGTTACAAATAATTTTTAGTCATTAATCTTTTTTAAAGTTTTTATTTTACACGAAGGCCTTAAATAAAATAAAATATCTTCCCATGATTTAATTGCTTTATTTTTTTTGTTTCTATTTTTAAAAAGATTTGTTTAAAAGCTGTTTTTTTAAACTTGACTTGGTAATTAAATTATAAAAAACTAATTAAATCATGAAGTGATTAAAAATTACAATATTAAAAAGACAACATTATTTTTATAAACAAATTCTTTTGCAGCTTTTTGAAAAATATATCTATACAAACTAAATATATTAAAAAATTTTTTTTTCAGTAATAAATAAAATATTCATTAAACAATTGATAGAAGTAATTTGTTAAAAGCGTTTTGCGTAACTTTTATTAAACGTTTTAAAAGATCAGTTTTTAAGTAATTTTTTTCAAATGTAATTGAAAACGTAACAAAAAGTTATTTCTACTTCAATTTTTTTAAGTGTTATTTTAAAACGAATTTATTTTCTTTTTCCTAAGGAATTGTTTTGCCTATTCTTTAGTTTTTTAATTATTTTTTTTCTAGTTTAAGCTTACATAAACATTTCTTTTATCAGCGCATTTCTGAAATATTTAAATCAAAACATCTAAACAGTTGTGGTGAATTGGTGAACAAAAAAAATCATTTTTGTAGTCAGCGTTTGATTGTATACCATTTCTATCCAAACTTTATTTTGTAGAATTTAATTCCTGTTGGTCAAAATGTTTGATTACTTTGTAAATTGAGCAGACAATCTTAGGTTTTAGTCGGACAATGTCTGACCGTTAAATTGAACCCTGTAATACTAAAATTATATTTATTTATTTTTAAATATATATTTTAAAAATGTTTTTATTTACTATACTCACCCCCTAAGGTTGAAAAGATTATTATAGTTAAGGAGGCTGTTAAGGAAATTTAAAATAATAACAATAATTTTATTATTTAAAAAATTTTTTTATCATTTAAATTTAAATTACAAGCGTTTTAATAGAATAAATATTCAAAATAATAAACCAGTTAATCTATATTTTGAATTATATTTTGTTATTATAAAATTTTTTCTGGCAGGTTGAATATCTTTGTGAAAAAGGTTCTGATGTGAATCGTGGACAGAGATCATCTTCATTGCATTATGCTGCCTGTTTTGGAAGACCTGCAGTAGCTAAAGTATTTTTTTAGATGATGCATTGCATGGCTATTTGTGCTCTGTAAAAATGTTTTAATAAAATAAATTAATAAATTATAAATTAAATTTAATGTTTAATGTAATAAGTTTGATAAGTTAGTTATGTGGGTAAATATTTTTTTATTTTATATGTTATTTTTACTAAACATTATACATACAGGTTCTTCTAAAATACGGTGCTAATCCTGAGTTACGCGAGGAAGATGGAAAAACACCTTTGGATAAAGCTCGTGAAAGAAATGATGAAGGACACAAAGAAGTTGTGAGAATACTTCAAACTCCTGGTGTGTTTTTTTCCCAATTTATTTAAGAGTAACTTGTTAAAAATTGATTTTTCAATTCAATCAATCTAATGATTTATGCTTAAAACATTTTTAAAAAAATGTTTTAAGCTTAAACTGTGTTTAAAAATCATTTTTAAAAAAGTATCATTTTCCAATACGTGATATAAGTGGTGGTTACCACTAATAAAGTTGTTTTTAGTGTTTCAAAACTTTCTTTTTTAGTTATAATTTGTTTTGATTCTTATGTTGATTACTAAATTCTTATTATAGTATTAGTAAGGAGTTCTCAGTAATTTATGTCAAAATGATTTCAATAGAAAGGATCAAATTGCATACTTGGTTTTTCAGTTTGACGTTTTAAAGAGAAAAAATTAGCATTTAATTTTTACCATGTGACTTTTTTATTTGTTAACACTTAACATTTTTATTTGTTACCACGTAACATTTTTATTTGTTACCATGTGACTTTTAATTTGTTACCATATGACATTTTTATTTATTACTACTTGACATTTTTTGTCAGTCAGAGTTGATCTTTTAAAAACTTTTTTTTTTTAATACAACTAAAAAAAGAAAAGGAAATTTCATTGGAAAAAAAAATTATTATTGACTTTTAAATAATTTTTTAGAAATCATTTGTAATATATTTAAATTTCACGCAAATAAACTTCTTTGTTTTAAATATCTTTTTTTTGCATTAGTTCAACCACAGCTTTTTTTCAATTTGTTTTTAATAAAAAAGTATTTATTAAAAAACTTCTGTGAGATGTACTTTTTTTTTTGAGACCCAGGTTACATTTACATAATTTAAAAAGCTTTCATTTTGGTGATTTTAGGGACCCTTCCAATAAAGGAAGCATTGATTTCCCTTGATTGAAAAATCTTTCTTGATTTTCCAATCAAGGGAAAATCAAGAAAGATTTTAAAATCAATAAGATTAGTTTTTCGTTGTGTCCACAAACATATAAATAAATGTTTTAAAATGCCTCCTTATTTCTAACGCTACATGTGTTTTGACTTGTTCCTCTAAAATTAAAGTGAATCAAATATGGAGTATATAGTAAAGTTAATGTATTATAGGGAAGAGTATGCACTCATAGTCCAAAAAGAACTATTAGGTCAATTTACTGAATATATGATTTCATTTTGATTTCTAAAGTAACAGTATATGATAGCAAACTTTATACTGTATTTTAATTTAATAATCATTTTTTTACCATAATATTTTAAGTAAAATTTTAAATTATAAAAAATAAAAACACTCAATTGGGATCAAGGGTGCATACCAGTATGGTATGCACCCTTGATCCCAATAATAATATAATAAGGTGCATATAATAAGGACTACCATACTGGTAGTCCTTGATAATAAGGACTACCAGTATGGTAGTCCTTATTATATGCACCCTTGATTCTATGCATGTATGCTTGAAACAAATTCAAATTTATACCATGAATATGTAAGAATTGTTTTTAAGTCAAACTATGTCTATAATAAAAACCAATAGTGTTATTATTCGATTTATCCTGCTATTTTTATTTGTTTCTCCCTAATTTCATTTGTAGTTGGATTTGCTGCTATTACAAAGAAAAACAAAACAAAATCAATGAAAAAAATCTATTTTTTCACTGTTTTCCTAGTGGTAAATAATATGAAATTACAGGGTGGCAACAGCTGCTCTAAAATCCCCTAAAGTCCTCTTTTTTCAAAAACCTCCTCTAAAATCCTCTATTATCCTATAAAAAGTTAAAAATATCATTAAATCTCTTCTTTAACTCCTCTTTTTTATTATATTTTATTTCTTGATGGTAATATAATGTTCAAAATTCATGGTCTGCAAAATGCGTAACGTCTGAAATTGGGTTGTAAAAATTAATGGGTTGTAAAAAATCAATTTTAGCAAATCCATGTCATCTAACAAATAATGACATTGTTGACCCCTGTCCGATTCCCAGTTATGTGGAAACATAGGCGTTGAACCTTGAAAAAAAAAATCTTCTAAAATACTCTTTTATTCAAAATTTTGTAGTTTTGCGAAAAAAATCTTCTAAATTAAATGCAAAATCTCCTCTAAAATCCTCTAATATCCTCTTTTTCTTATAAAAATTTTGTGGCCACCCTGAATTACTTCAGGGTGGCCACCCTGAATTACTTCATTACTATATCCTGAAGTAGAACTACAAGACAATTTATTTAAGTGTTGTGATTTGTGAAGTGTTGTGAGTTTATTGTCATTGTTACTGCTGTTTAAATTTTTTTTTTTTCATCACTTACAAAATAAAGTTTTTTTTTTCTTCTCATGTGGACCTTATTTTGGGTTTCATGTTTTTTTTTTTTTGTTTTTTTTTTTGACTGAGATTTTTTTGAAGCCTATACATTATTTAGTTAATTTCAAACAGGAGTGTCTATCATTATTGGAGTACTCTGATGCTTATGTCCTTGGTCTAAGTTTCTCTAGACTTACTTGATGAGAGATATTAATAGAAATATTAGATAGCTGACTCCCAGGGTCAAATATTTTTGAAGGCTGAAAAGGTGATAAATATTAATCAATAATAAATAAATAATAATAAATATTAAGAATCATTTCAATACAAATAATATGATTTAGTAAATAAATATAAAAAATTTCATAGACACTGTTTTAAAATATTGTTTTAAACTAATTGTAGCAAATATGAACAACATAAAACAATGAATAAGTTAAATTAAAATCAATTTGAGCACTTTTTTAAAAATAGATAAAAAGACAATTTTAAAACCAAACTTTAATATTTTCAAAAAGTTTTTTAAATTTTATTCTCTCCTTAACTTGTGTATCTAATATTTAAAGTATAATAAAATTTTATTTTTTACAATTTCATTTATTACTTGCCTTCTTTGTTCTCAATATCAAAAATGATATCAAGAAATCAAATTTAGTATCATTTAACAATTGTAAATTTAACCTTTAACTTCATTTTAAATGGAGTTAAGGGT